CGCGAGCCCGGGACCCGAACCCGGGACCGCCGTGGAGCCAGGCGAGCACAACCGACGACCTGAAGTGCCTCTTGAGCAACAACGCCCAGCTGAGCCTGAGGGGCCGCCGCCAAACCATGCAAGGCGCAGATCCATCCCGGCGTGGAAGAGACGGCTGAACCAACAGGACCGAGCCAAGTGGAGGGGCGCGAAGAGCGGAAGGACTGGCGGCTACTACAGGGACAGCGGGTACGGTGGGTGAGGACCACAAAGAGCGCGGCACGACCTCCAGCCCTACTACCAGATCGGGGACATCTCCGACTACCGGGGTGCATGCCGCCTGAGTCGCAGACTCACCGAATGAGTTACGTAACCACGAGCGCCATGGCACGGGGACCAAAGTGTTTGGTGCCGAAGGACCCGTGCCGCACAGAGCTCAGCATAGACAGCGTCCGGCAGGAAGTACGGCAAATTTTGCACTTGTGAACCTCATTGCACTTTACCTGCGATAGCTTTTTGGTAACCTTAAGCTAACTAGCTGTTTTCAGCATCTGCCGACACAAAACCCAGTACGACTGGGACAGCAACTCACGGTGCGACAGCACAGAGAGAGGGTTGATGCCCACGAGATCAACTAGGCGGGGACTTGCATGTCTACGGGGTCTTGATGTTCGTTTACGGGGACACCGATGGCACCGAAACCTCACCCCATGTTTCACGCCGACTCCTGACACGAACTTTGGTGTAGCGCGAGAGCGCCGGGCGAGGGGTTCTTGCAGCCCTGAGCCCAAACGCCCAGCAAGCAAGCAAGCAAGCAAGCAAGAGAGAAGGGAGGATGTCCGTCCCTTCCCTTTGCCCCGGTAGGGAGAGAGAGAGAGAGAGAGAGAGAGCTGCCCTCGATGTTGTTCGTAACCATACCAGGAGTTGGACGCTGCCTCAATCGATGAGAGCTCGGCAAAGGAGCCTTGATTTTGCAGCGGCACCAAGAACCAAGTGTTCCTGTGCGTTGGCCACAGGACCTGGGTGAAGCTGCAGCAGCCGGTGAGGTCTCAGCAGCGGGGCGGAGAGAAAGAGAGAGTCATACTCGCTCGCAAGCCCAGGGCGTATACGTGCGCTTTGGCTGAGTTGAAGAAGCGAGAGAGTGAGAGTCAACGCATCGAGTTGTGACACATGCTGTAGGAACAGTTTGTGATGCATGTTCTGGACCGCCGTTCGAGAATGTGTTGTGTCTTTTGGATTGATATCTTTCATCTGGAGGATGTCACTGCCGCCACCGATGAGAGCGCCGTAGAGGCATGGATTCCGGGTGGATGTTGCAGATGTAAAGGTACGTTGCATGATGTTTACTGGTTGTCTTCCGCAGCATGCTGTGGTTTTGTGGCTGCCCAGCAGTTTGTGCTGAGCGCAGGACCTGGGCAAATCTGCAGAAGCCGGTGAGGTCCGCAACGGGGCAGGGAGAAAGAGCGAGAGGGAGGGAGAGAAAGAGAGTCAACGCTGTGAGTGCTGCCCACAGCCTCGAGTCCGCTGTGACAGAACGCTGGAGATGCAGTTGGTGATGCATGTTCTGGACCACCGTTCGAGAATGTGTTGTGTGTGTTTTGGATTGAATCTGGAGGATGTCACTGCCGCCACTGATGAGAGCGCCGTAGAGGCATCGGTTCCCAGAGCTCTTGGATGTTGCAGATGTAGGGGTACGTCACGTGATGTCTGCTGGTTTTCTTCCGCAGCATGCTTTGGTTTTGTGGCCTCCGCGCTGCGTGTGCTGGACACAGGACCTGGGCGAATCTGCAGAAGCCGGTGAGGTCAGCAACGAGGCAGAAGTCTGCTTCCACACAGCCTCGTCCATTGCGATAGAATGCTGTCGTCGCAGTCTTTCGTGCTGTGGCTTGATATTATTCATCAGGAGGATGCCGTTGCCACCGATGAGAGCGCCGTAGAGGCATCGATTTCCTGGGCTGTTGGATGTTGCAGATGTAGAGGTACGTTACTTGTACGTGATGTTTTATGATTTTATTCAGCAGCATGCTGTGGTTTTGTGGCCGCCCAGCTGTGTGTGCTGAGCGCAGGACCTGGGCGAATCTGCAGAAGCCGGTGAGGTCCGCGACGGGGCAGGGAGAAAAAGCGAGAGGGAGGGATAGAGAGAGAGAGAGAGAGAGAGTCAACGCTGTGAGTGCTTCCCACAGCCTCGAGTCCGTTGTGACAGAACGCTGGAGACCGTTCGAGAATGTGTTGTGTGTTGTGGTTTGACATCTTTCATCAAGAGGATGTCGCTGCCGCCACCGATGAGAGCGCCGTAGAGGCATCGGTTCCCTGAGCTCTTGGATGTTGCATGTAGGGGTACGTTACGTGATGTCTACTGGTTTTCTTCCGCAGCATGCTTTGGTTGTGTGGCCTCCGCACTGCGTTTGCTGGACACAGGACCTGGGCGAATCTGCAGAAGCCGGTGAGGTCAGGGACGGGGCAGAGAAAGAGAGAGAGAGCCAAAGAAAGTGGATCAATTCCGTGAGTGGTTCAACAGCCTCGAGGGTATCGTGACAGAGTGCTATGGTGCAACCTGTCGTCCAATTTTTTGGACAGCCGTTCGAGGATTCTTTGCGGTTTGATGTCTTTCATCATGAGGCTGCCACTGCCACCGATGAGAGCGCCGCAGAGGCATCGGTTCCCTGGGCTCTTGGATGTTGAAGTTGTACGTTACGTGATGTCTACTGGTTTTCTTCCGCAGCATGCTTTGGTTTTGTGGCCGCCCAACTGTGTACGCCAAGCGCAGGACCTGGGTGAATTTGCAGAAGCCGGTGAGGTCAGGGACGGGGCAGAGAGAGAGAGAGAGAGCCAGAGAAAGTGGATCAATTCCGTGAGTGGTTCAACAGCCTCGAGGGTATCGTGACAGAGTGCTATGGTGCAACCTGTCGTCCATTTTTTCTGGACAGCCATTCGAGGATGCTTTGCGGTTTGATGTCTTTCATCATGAGGCTGCCGCTGCCACCGATGAGAGCGCCGTAGAGGCATCGATTCATGGGCTCTTGGATATTGGGGTATTTTTAATGTTTAATGATGTGTACTGCAAATTTTGGCACTGTGACCGCCCAATCGCGTGCGCTGAGCGCAGGATCTGGGTCCTGCAGAAGTCGATAAGATCAGGCAGAGAGTTTTTTAGAAGACGGAGCCAGAGAGCTCTTCAGCACAGCTTCGCTGTGAATACATACAGCAGGCTTAGTTTGTCGTATATGTTATGGACAGCCGTTCCAGGATGCATTGTGGTTTGATTGCTTTCAGCCGGAGGATGCCACCGCCACCGATGAGAGCAGAGTAGAGGCATCGGTTCCTGGGTTCTGGGATGTTTCGTGACATTGCTGTTCGTCTTCAGCGACATTGGACGCTGCTGCAGGATCTCGCCTTGATTTGGCGTCTTTCGATTCTCGAGCGGATTGTGCACTAGACTCGACTAAACTCCAGGGCTTCACCAGAGGGCCTGGATACGAGAAACTGCATGGGGCAGTCGGTTTGACTATTCAGTCACCAGTTCCATGCTACCATGCTACTAGTAGCAGTGTGCAGGATGAAGGCATGCCGCCTGCGACCATGGATGACATGGAGGACCGAAGCCCAGCACCTGTGCATCTTTCAACAAATCCGAGCCACGCCTCGTGTTGGTTCCTGTCTTAAACAAAGGAATGAACTCGCCCAGTAAATGAGAGGAGCTCGTCTATCTTCTTAGTCCTCCTGGCTCCACAGACAGTTGCCATGCGATGTTGCTGGCTGAAGCAGATGTCACTGCACTCACACACGTTTTGCCGCAGTCTGGCGATGCAAGTGACTGCCTTCACGAGCAAGCCACTCATGGCACTCACCCAGGCAGCAGCAGTTTGTTGGCAAGCAAAATCGCAACAGGAAGAAACGTTGATCAACTCGCTCCAGAGTGCTTGCGCGTATTCTCGTCGCAGACACATGGTTTTCTTGTGATACAGTAAACACGCCTTCGAATGCTAGCAAGCATCCCTCACTGTGTTTTCTCGGCTGCGTTAGTTTTCTGATGCACTGACATTGCCAATGCTTAGCTCGCCCTCAGCAACAGGACGTGGATTGGGGAAGCTCTGACAATCGTTTTGCTGCTCCTCATTAACTTGGATTGCTGGGGCGGTCACAGCAGATGACCATTCTTCGCATGTCTCCTTTTTTGTAGGTCTGCATGCGTTGGAGAGCGACAGCAGCAGCTTCCTTGAAGTCTTGGTAAAGCTAGACGGTCAAGGATTCGGGGCTTCCGGTCGTAGGATATTGGCCAACCCTGAACATGGAAGTGTAGTCAACCAAGGAATGATAGCAAGAAAAAGCAGCAGCGGTAAACAAGTACCGACATGTGTAGCATCAAAGAGCTACGATTGTTCTTCGCATGGTCATTATCATCAATAAATTATTGCTGCCCATGCTGCTCCTACAACTAGGTGTCTTGCCATTCCAAGAAGTGCTTGCCACTTACATGGAGTATTGCCATGGTTCCCATGTTTCACCATTGCTGTCATTCTTTTCCGCTCATATAAGAATTTTCATTATTCATTCATCCATTCAGTCATCCATTCATCCATTCATTCATTCATTCATTCATTCATTCATTCATTCATTCATTCATTCATTCATTCATGAAGAATGGTCAAGGTGCAGATCATTGGTTCCTCATTATTGGTTCCTAACCATTCCACGTAGAATTACGGTTGTTAATATTGACCGTGGTTGCAGTGTTGACTGTGATTATGAATATGAACATAACTATGAATATAGCACTGACTTTGAGTATGGTTGTGCTTATGATCATAACTCCGGTTATGAGTATGCTTATGATTGCGGTTTTCATTATCATCATCGTTGTTTTGGCTAATATTCTGCTTGCTTTTATGATTACTGTCATTACTGCTGCCACTGTTACTATCACTTCTGTCGTTATTTCTGTTGGTAGTGTTACAGTTATGTTCGCTCATTATTGCTATTCTTGTCATGGTGCGATCTCGCGTTCCAAGGCTGGCGGGGAGATGCTGAACGGACTCCACTGGGATGCCAATCTTCACGAGTATGTGGACTCATCGGGCAATGCGCCCTGTAAAAGCCAGTGTTGATGCATCGTGAAGTGTTATGAAGTGTGTATGGTGTAGGGCGGGTTCGTTTTAAGGGCTTTCAGTGAGTTTGAGCTTGTTTTTGGCTTCCTGTGAGTACTGCCTGTGTGTACGTCCGATTGTAAACGCGCAGCAGCAGGTACCCCATACTCTCTGGAATACCCGGGACCATTGGAAATACGACGACGACTACGATGTCGACAAGGCCTTCAGTCCGCAAGGGGAAGCCACGCAAGGGATGTCAAAGAAGCTCAGGTTTCCGGCCTCCACGGTCACTTCATTGATGCGGGCGAGGCTGATGCTGATCTGTTTGCGAATGCCTGATTGCAGCAGCTCGGCCACAGCAGGTCACTTCGAAGCTCCACGGCTTGCACTGGGACTCCCACCGCCACACTTACGTGGACACGTCGGGCAAGGCAAGGTTTCCTGTTTGCCTGGAGAGATCGGGCTTCCTTGGGCAGCTTTGGCTTTAGATCATCGCCCTGACCCTTTTTGCAAGGTTGTGTTGTGATTTGTGATGGTTGGTGTGTCGGGACTTGTTTCTCCCTTCCGTCCTCCTGGTCGATTTTGGCTGCCGACGCATATTACCGAGCACTGCTGCGAGGTTTCCAACCCTGATTAATTGGCCTGCCGCTCGTACGGTCGCATTGTCCGTCTGCTCCACACGAGGTGCACAGGAGTCAGCTCGTTTCGAAACATGCCTGCGCAGAAAGTTTAGCTCTGCTTGGCACTGTTTATGTGCAATCGAGAGTCGGGTGCACTTCTTTCTGAGATGCTTTCTGTGGGCGGCCTCGGATCGCCAGGTGCCTTCCTCGCTCCAGGGCTTGCACTGGGACGCCCACCTCCACGGCTTCGTGGATGGCAAGGCAAGATTTTCCTCTGGCGGCCGTGTCGAAATCCGATCAACGTACCGATGTCTGCAAGATCAGTGACATGTTCGTTGCGTTTAGCAGTTTCCCAGTAGCCAGCCATCAGATTCTTACAGACACTCACTCTTGACGGTGGTCTTGTTCGCATGTTGCATCAAAGCGCCGGATTTAGGGTATCGCGGAGTCCCGGTCAAATTTGGCAATGAAGCAGGTTGCGGAGTCACTCTCACTGATTGTGTGTCCTCAGCTAATCTGGTGATGCAGCACGTTGTCCCAGCCCATTGGGGCACGGTGACAGACCGCGCTTGGGACTTCGTTGGTGTCTCGGAGTCCGCAGTTGTTGTGTGTCCTAGTACCTAGATGTTCTGGGGTCTAATCCGCGTGCATCGGGGTGTCAAAGCATCCGGTTGGTGGTCTTCGTCCTTCGTGACTGAGTGTATCGATGTTCAGATGTCTCCCCAAAAGGAGCAAGGTTTCCACGATCAAAGCTATTATTAATCAGTTCTCGAAGACCGAGTTCCCAAACGGCTTTCCTCTGCGCTCTGGCACTCTCCGGCCCGCGGAAGCGGCATCACCAAACCGGACGGTGAACCATCTGGACACCGAAACCAGTAGGTTGGGACACAAAGCCATTGACACATGCTTGCGCCCCAGTGCGAGCAATATGTGTTGTGGAATACGCTGGACATGGCATGATTTGTTGGAGTTCGGGTTTGAGCTCATGGATCCGATGTACAGTCATGATTCCGACAGGACCTGGGCAGCTATCATTCCTACACAGGCGACAGATGCCTGCTTCGCTCCGTTGTGCAGCACACGGGTCGGAAGAGATAGAACCGGTAGGTGGTGCATCTTCGCTTGTGCAGGATAGGACGTAGGCCTTGGGGTTGCTTCCAGCTCTTCGGAAGATACGTGTGAGGTCCCCATACCCACGAGCACCACATCGTGATCCACCACTATCATCCAGTTGGACATGCTGTCGCAAAGCTGCATAGCGCAGGAATGTGCAGGACAGAACCACCAGGTTCGGAGTCGAGATCTTGCAGTTATCGGCACGGAACAGCAAATCGTGTTGTCGAAGAGCAAGCATCGACTACGATCATGCGTGGAGCACCCCGAAACGAGATAGAATCCCTGATAATCCCTGCACGAAGAAACATGCAGGCCGACAAGCTATTCTGTTTGTCTTCTGAGGTCCACACGATGTTGCTTGGCATTGACATGGAAGGTGGAATTTTACCAAGGCCAGTTAGACATTGTCTTTGTTTGCCTAGGTCCTGAATGTCGAAGTCATGACTTGTTTCGGATAAGTCTTTGCTGTAGTGGGGTCGGGGGCTGCCCCCCCCACCACAGCAAGCTGAGGTCGTACGACTGTCATGCAGGCTTGGGCAACGCGCAGGTACGCCGTACAGTTGGCTCATGCAGCGAGCGCAGAGATGGCGGCCTGACAGTTGCAAAGGAGAATCATCACAATGTGAAGCCAGGGAAGCAGCTATGTCTTTCGAGAGCCCTTTGGTTGCAGGCCGGCTGGTCAGATGGCAAGAAGGCGGGGTGGGAAGTGCTGCGGCAGGGGGAGGGCTTGCTCGAGATCCTGAGTAATGCTCCAGAAGCGGAGAACCTCCAAGGCACCCTATGTATCTCCCCTCTGGCAAACTTCCGGTCCCACAGCCAGCGATCTTACGCAACATCCGCCTCAGACTTCGCACTAAACCCCGCATTCTTGAGAACTGTCCCGGCCAGGACTACTGCTGTCACCACATGCACCTGGGATGCCCGGCTAAGCACCGGCCCCAGGACATGCGCAGGGGAGGTTTGGTTTGGCAGATGTGAGGCCCTTCGCTAGTAGCGTTCAAATCGGCAAGGCTGGGCAGCACTCCCAGCGCACCGGAGCCCAAGTTCGATTGCCACGAGAGCGGAAGCCTGAGATCGTCCTTGCTTCGGCAACTGCAAACTCGGTTGGTCATGCTGCCTCTACAGCGTTTCAGCCGGGCCTGGAAAGGTGAAGAAGACCCAGTCGCCAATTGGGCCGACGAGAAGAAGGACTGGTGCTGTGAAAGCTACAGCCGCGGCTGCCATGGCCTCGGCTGCCAAGAACAGCACATCACCAATTGCGACCTCTGCAGTTCGTGACTCTGCGAGCAGCCTCCTCAAGAGCCATCTCTATGCCCACTGTCTCCTCTCACACTGTTTTTGTCGCTCTTGATCGACATGCCAAATGTAAACCGTGTGAAGACTTCAATCTTGATCCAGCCGCTTCAGAGCCAGGTCCTGACGAGCCGCCTGCCCAAAGCTACAACTGCCAAGCCGACCAAGACAAGTGGGAAGCAGGCACTGAGGATAGGGGGTGCCCAGCAACCACGGCTCGCAATCTCTGTTAGCACCTGATGCCAAGTGCTTTGTCCAGTTTGGCCACATGAGAAGCGCGCCTGGTGCTGCTACACCCACGGGGTCGCCTGAGAGCTGGCTGCACTGGCTGCACTCTTTAGTAACAATTGTGAGGAGGCCGGTGACGTATTTCTTGCCTCAATGGAAAGTGAGTACTCCGACAGTCCTACATGTGGGGAGGGCACTCAGACCGCCCAGGCGATCCTTACAACTGCCAGGCGGGGTCCTGTGCGGATGGAGCGGGGAGTTGGGATCACCATGGATCATCCATGGCTGAGAGTTTGGAGGTTGCATGCTCGGTAGAGACCGAGAACCTGCTTACCAGCCCACGCAGAAAACAGGAGAACCTCACCACCTGGAACGCGAGCTGGACCTCAGCGAAGAAGGCAGGTTCCACTCATGGGTGCTCCGACTGCTTGACTTGACTGATACCTACCAGACGCCTGCAAGAAAATGCTGGGATGGACACAGGACACCTGATGCGAAGTGCTAGGCAGGGCTTGGAAGTGCCAGGAAGGGGGCTTTTCTGCGCAGGGATGGTGCTGCAAGCATCAGCGTCTGGGCTGCCCATACGACTGCGCGGCAGGTGCGGTGCCGGTGCACAGCAGGCTTGAGGTTGCCGTGTATTGAGAAACTTGAGAAACGGGTCACACTTTGGTGAAACAAATTGCCTCGACCTACGCCTTTCACTCAAAGCTCCAGGTGACGATGCCTGGCAAGGCGGGGCCGGCTGCCCGAAGTGCCGCCGAACCCAGAGGGCTCGGCTTGCCCCAGTTGGGTCTCAAGCTTATATACGAGCTTGTGAGATCTTCAGTATCAGGTCCTTCTAAACAAAACCTTATGACGACGCCTGCCCGCAATTGCCTCATGGTGCTGCAGGGTGGGCCGCGAAGAAGAAGGACTGGTGCTGCGAACATCAGGCGAGCGGGGTTCGGAGTGAACTGTTTGGGTTTAGAGCTTGCATCTCGGGATCCATTTGATTTTCCAGTGCAACCTGCTCAGAAGGATGGTCGGCGGCTAACGCAACAAAATTGGTCCAATGCCTCGATCGTGTTTATCCTTTATATCAGTGGCAGTGGCGGAGATCACGGCTGGCGGAACTGCTGCTGCTGCTGCTGCTGCTGCTGCTGCTGCTGCTGCTCCTACTGCTACTCCTACTGCTGCTGCTGCTGCTGCCGCCACCACCACCACCACCACAACCACCATAACCACAACCACCCCCACCCCGCGCCAGCGGCAGCGGCAGCGGCAGCGGCAGCGGCAGCGGCAGCGCAGTGGCAGCGGCAGCGGCACCGGCACCTTCACCGGCACCGGCACCGGCACCGGCACCGGCACCGGCACCGGCACCAGCACCAGCACCAGCACCACCACCGCCGCCGCCGTCGCCGCTTCCATCACTGTGACTGCGACTGCCGCTGACTGCCACGCTGACGCTGCCACTGCCACTTCCATTAATACTCCTACCAGTGCTACTCCTTCAACTACTTTTGTGACTTCGCCTACCACGAATGACTGTGCCACCACTGAACGACCACGACGATGACCGCGACTGAGGTCACACCGAGGAAAGACGCAGACGACAAATGCCATCAAGATGATGCCTACCCTTGCTGTTGTGCCTGTGCTGTTGCGAGCACATGTCTTCCCTTTCCCCCGCGCTGACGATAGCGTTGAGAAAGAAGGGAGGGATCTGACAGCTTGGCCTTCTTTCCGCAAATCCTGCAGGGCGTGGCGTGCGAGTCCTACAGCTGCGAAACAGGCCGTTCAGCACGAGCATGAAGCGACCTTGGCAGAGCTATACTTAGACGGAGCTGGATGATCATCATCATGCTTTGAGGTAGGTAGTCAACCGAGGGTGGACGCTGCAGAGATTTAAAGAGCACGGTTCAAAGGGCTTGACAGGCAGCGACGAAGAAACCTTTGAAACCTGGTCTGGCAAGAAGAAGCTGCTTGGAGAGCACCTATATTCTGAGACCTTACATGGGGCACTAATGATTTGCTGCCACATCCGACACTTCAAAGTATGCAGACGGAAGTCTTCGTTACAGCAGTGGGCAGACCTCGTTCGTGGAGTGTCAGGTGGAAACAGTGTTGTGATTTGAGGTTCTGGTGTTGCGAAAACCACAAAGTCGCTTGCGACCCATACGACTGCAGCGGCCTTAGCACCCACATGTAGAACGATTGGAAAGCCTTGAGCCTGAAGAAAGTCTGTGTAGAAAATCAGCATTGCCGGAAGCATTGTAGCACATGCCTGGTAAACTTAAGCTCCTTGTTGCGAGTCGATGCCCTTGGAAATTCTGGAGCTTGCTCGACGTGTATCTAAGTTGCCCAAGCAGGGAGCGGCAAACCTGAGGTGACTACAACAAGGAAAACTTCCACCAGTACTGGAGCGAATCCAAGCGAGCGTTCTGCTGCATCAAGGACTTGGGACGGGGCTTTGGTGGGGTCATCGCAGTTCATGTCATGTACTGTCGTTGTTGCTAGTAGGACATTGGTCTCAGCTGTTGCAGTGGGAATGCCCTTCGTCCCTGCCTGTGATGGGGTCCTCGATCGGTAGTGCAGGAGCAAAAGGGCTGCGTGAGCGGGAGCCTCACTGTCGAGTAACGGCGCCGTGGATCTGCGGTGGAGTGGAATACGGTGGCTCTTCACTACGCAATCGATGGACTGTTTCTCAGTGAGCCAAGGCCATACCACGCCAGCGCCACATAACTGCGAAGAGGCGGGGCCAGTGCTTTTGCAGTAGGATACAACATCTACTTAGCAGATTCGGCAGGACTACGATGACTGGCAGACCAAGTGGGACGAGGATTCTGCACAAGCATCGGGTTGACTCGGAGACTCAGGTGTTCCACATAGTTTGAAAAGGCAGCTCGAAACCACAAGCACGTCGGGGTGGGGGTAATGAGGCGAAGACGAGCAGCTTTACATGCTTTGCGTGTGAAACGGAACTCTCTTTGCACTGCAGGAGAAAAGGCAATGGTGCTGCCAAACTCATGCCTCTCTGCTGTTGTTTGATGGGTTTGGCTCATAATCTCTAGCTCCACGCCAATCTTGCTCCATCACCTCGCAAGAGTGCAAGCGGTCTGATAAGATCTGAACTACGTTGATTCTTTTGCTCTCTTTGATGGTCTGTCTATCTATCTATCTGTCTGCCTGTCTTTCTGTCTGTCTGTCTGTCTGTCTGTCTGTCTGTCTGTCTGTCTGTCTGTCTGTCTGTCTGTCTGTCTGTCTGTCTGTCTGTCTGTCTGTCTATCCATCTAGCTATCCATCCAACCATCTATCTATCTATCTATCTATCTATCTATCTCTACCTCTCTCCATATCTCTCTCCCTCTCTGTCTCTCCGTCTCTCTGTTTCTTTCCCCTCCGTCTCTCCCTCTCCCTCTCCCTCTCCCTCTCCCTCTCCCTCTCCCTCTCCCTCTCCCTCTCGCCTTCGCTCTCGCTCTCGCTCTCGCTCTCTCTGTCTCCCTCTCTCTGAGTCTCTCCGTCTCTGCCTCTCCCTCTCTCCCTCTCCTCCTCTCGGTCTCCCCCTCCCCCTCTCCCTCGCTCCTCGCTCCCTCTCCCTCTCCGTCCCCTGTCTCTGTCTCTATCTCCGTCCCTCTGTCTCTGCCTCTGTCTCTGCCTCTGCCTCTGTCTCTGCCTCTGCCTCTGTCTCTGTCTCTGCCTCTGTCTCTGTCTCTGTCTCTGTCTCTGTCTCTGTCTCTGTCTCTGTCTCTGTCTCTGTCTCTGTCTCTGTCTCTCTCGCACACACCCACCAAATCAGGGAGAGTCACCAAGAACTTTAGACGTGGGCTCCCATTCTACTTTTGTTCCGAACTTCCTCGTGTTCGGCGTGCGATGCAAGATGTCCACAAAGTACTTGACTTGACCCTTTTCCAACCTGAGCCCTGCCCGCAATATTCAAGAGTCCCAGCATCCGCATACTGAAAACGAGTTAACTCCATGCTGGAAGCATATGCTCAAATCATCAGCCCGGCTTCTCTCTCAGCTCCGCGGCTGCCACCACGAAGTGGCTCCCGACCCCTGGACCTGCACGTGGCCCGAAGAGAGCAGCAGCTTGCCTTGGATGTCAGAGCTGCCGCGCGTAGAAGTTCTAGCAACCGTCGTCGTCGTCGTCGTCGTCGTCGTCATCACAATCAGCATCATCATCGACAAAAGTAGGTACGAGGCAGCTGGTTCTACGGGTGCAGTGAACCTAAGGACCCAAGGGCCTCAACATGAAAGGTCTCAAGTCCATTTATCTTTCAGGAGATGTTTCGACCCGTTGCTGCTTTCGCATGGGCATCAATCAGGTCGTCTTTAGGATGTGTTTGCGGTGACTGCTAGTGTGATTGACTTGACGGAGCCAACATCTGTGCATGTCTGTGACGGCTGACTGCGCAGCTTTCAGCTTTCCTAGTTACAATCCGCAAGGCTGGGAGGACTTCTTCAGCCACGGACAGAAGCGGTGGTGCTGTGATCACAAGCACATCGGTTCCTGGTCCTGTGAGGAGATGGGATCGAATTAGTTAGCAAATCAGAGAGACTGTTTCCTAGAACAGAACAGTCACACGAACGTCTTCGACCTGGGAAGCCTCAATAAGTTAAGCACAGAACAGAGTGGAGCTTCTGCGAGACACATGTCATCGCACTGGCCAGGTTGCGATCCCTACGACTGCAACTACTTCTACAGCTACCTAGCTTGCACGCGATGGGAAGACACACGCTGATGAAGGGGGCCAGCCTGTCCGCACCAGTCACTGCTCAGGCGACCGGGACGTTCTCTGGTCCAGCCACAAATCGCTGTGGCCACTCAGCTGAGTATTCACACCGAGAGAGCAAGCAGACTTCATCGTAAGCCATGCCAGCCAGGTGTTGCAGTCACAAGGGCAAAGGCTGCAATTCTCATGGGCATGACCAGCCATCCGCGGACCGCCTTGCGAGCTGATAGCTCTAAAGAAGATTTTTTGGAAGAGGGTGTTGAAGATTTCGTCCTCGTTTGATTGGCTACCTGGGTGCAGATCCTTCGCTTGGTCCTGCACTTGACGGGTATGCCTAAGCTTCCGCTTGAGCCTTGCCTCGGGTCTCACATCTGTCATGCTTCAGCCATGCCCTCGCCCAAAGCCACAGCCGAGCTCTGGCAGACTCGCAGAGCCTTCCAGGACTATGTCTTCCATGGAGACTACGACTGCACCCTCGCAGGTGCATCCACCACGGGCTGTGCAATGATGAATACTCTGTCAAAAGTGCACCTGCTGTTCCTGTCCACCAGGCTGGAAGTCAAAGGATGTCGCAGTTACCCCAAACAGCCGGATGTGCGAAACCAGTTTTATCAAGGAGCAGAGGCTTAGCCAGCTTGCGACTGGAAGGTGCCATCGCAAAGCATGCCTCAACCCTGAAAGCCAAGCTTAAGTATCGGATGGTCCTGTGATGCCAGGCGGCAGCTGGGAGACGTGGCCCAAGTCGTCACCCGTCAGCCTGGAGAGTGCACTGTGCTCCTGAGGAGCCTGTTCATGTTACCTTTCCCGTCCCCATCGTTAGGGAGCACAGCCGCGCTCACAATGAATCCGCCCAAGTTGCCAGTCCTGCCGGTGATTGTCCAACGTTGCAGCAGAGTTGGGTTTTGAAGTGCAAACCTCGTTGCTTGAGGCAGCGGTACTACTGCTGCGACCATTACACAGCGGCGTGGATGCAGATAGGATTTTGTCGCGCCCAACAGCCGCAGGCGCTACGGCGCATACGAGCATGTCGGGGTTTCAGGTGGGCTGCGACCAGTGGGACTGCGACTACGACGTGGACTCGTTGGAGGCCGCCCTTGGAGAGAATGGGGGTTACGACGAGGTGAGGTCTCACAGGCTCTAGTCTTTCGAAGCCATCTGTGCTAAGTGCGAGCTTGGAGTGCACTCCATGCCTGAGGCCTGGGAAACCAGCAAAAAAGCCTACTGCTGCGACAAGGCCTTGCCAGAGCCGTGCGTGGGGATTGCGGGCAACTTGCTACTTCCTGGGTCCTAGGTTTGTGGTTGTTTCTGTTTACAGCCGGCCTCTCCAACCATTGTTGGTCGAGCGGAGATGTTGACTGCGTCTGGAGTTCTCATGCGCACAGGCGAAATACCGTCCTGGGGGTCAGATTACGTCACTTGGAGCGCGTACGGCAGGCTTTGTAGGTTTGCCGATGCCCGGCGGAAACGCATGCCGCGTCAATCGCATGCTGCCCGCGCTGTCGTGGCGAGTTAAAGGCTGACTGCGTGCCAGGAGCTGGATTCGGCAGTCTGCGAGTCGCACAGGGCCGCCGTATTGGCGGAGCTTCATCATGAGGCGAATAGACTAGTCCAGCGTGGACTTGCCGAAAGCCACTCTACCCGGACACACAGACCGGTTCGACACCGGCCGTGAGACACAATCATGCCGGTTCTGCGCGACAGAACGCTCGCAAACAATGTCGTTGCTTCCTGTTGCTGTTGCCGTTTGCCGTGTTGCTGGGGCTGGCTTTTGGGTCTGCCTTCTGTTAGGCCAAGCTCGCGCCTCGGTCGATGCTGACCTCTCAAGTTTTTTGCAGCCAGCTTCTTGCTGGACGGCACAGGCTTTTGCCGTGAAACTGTGGGTTCGGCCCCTTAGTTCAACACCAGAAAGAAAGTCCGAGATGCTTCAAACACCGAGACGTCCTGGTCTTCTTCTGACTTGTAGTCATGGGGCGATCGAAGCTGCGAGGTTGGCGTCGGCTGTGTTGAAGACGACCAGCCCCCAGAACCTCGGCAGCAAATGGCCTGTCGAAGGGTGCCGCACGGGACCACCAAAAAGTCCTATGTCCTGTTCCGATGCATCTTGTAGAACCTGTGAGCGAAGGTCGAGGATCTCTTCGATTGTGATGCCGGGCTGGCCAAGTGGGAGAAGGGCTGGTCTGCAACGAAGAAAGGACCGGGCTTGCATGCGCACCTGTGCAACCACTCTGCCCGGAGGTTGAGGTCAAAGACGGTCGAAGCCGAAGTGCAGGGTTTGAGGTTCAGGGGCTCGTCGCAGAAGCGCTGGCACCAAACTACCCGTAAGAAGAAAGTGCCAAAGCCATTCAGACAGGGAACACGTTGGTGCTTCATGTTTCGGTTGTCTGCATCGTATCTTGCTGGAGGGTGTTCGCGCTGACCGTAGAACTGGGCTCTACTGGACTCACAGATGTTCAATCAAAAGAACGTGCTTTGCGAAATTCAGCCTCTCTAGCTGACAAACTTGTCAATCGTAACCGGGGTCCTTGGCTTCTGAACCACATCTTTCTGAAAGAGCAGATGTGTGTCAACGTTCAGTTGCGTGGCAAAGTCGAACCACGGACTGAGCAGGCTACTGCTGCAAGTACAAGAGCGTCGCTTGCGAGCCCTTCGATTGTGCAACTCTGCAAGCAATTTGATCATCAGGGCTCCTCGTCACGAGTTTGTTCTTGTCATTTTGAGTTTATGGTGTGATCGCAGTTTCCCCTTTCCCCGGAGTTGTGACTTGCAAAGACATGATGCAGAGAACACACAGCGGGGGGGGGGGGGGTTGTGTGAAGCGTTGGAATCCGGCGTCTTCCCCGCTTTGGAACAGGGCTTTGAGGTCGACGAGTACCAGACCAAGTGGCCTGAGGCGAAGAAACTCTGGTGCCTGGTCTGGAGCTTCTATGAAGTTCAAACGAGATAGAATGAGCTCAGCGAAATCAGTGTGGAGAGTTGAAGAGATGTCAGAAGCAGCCATAGGTGGAGGCCATGAGGGGTGTGCGAGCCCCAAAACAGAGCAGGGAAGGCGGTCTCATGCAGCGAGTGAACCCGACCGAAGTGATGTTGGCTGTCAGTGTTGCCCCGTTTCTCAGATTGTGTGAGGTGCTGCCAAAAGGAGGAAGTCGGATGCGAACACGAAGCCACCTTCGACTGCGAACCTGGGTATTACAATCAATAGGCTCGAGTTGCGTAGGAATTTCGATGCGAAGCTGCCACGCACTTGCGCTCCTTCAGCTCTTGCTGCCTTGAGCCGGACACGTTGACGTGGGCAACGGCCTCAAACCGCTCGCCCAGAAATATCGAACCCCTAGCACACTCAGTGCGACAAGAACCCGTCAACCCGAAACCGTCTTGCCCATGCCAAGGACGCAGGATATATCCGCTGGGAAGCGGGCTGGTCTGAGACGAAGAAGATGCAATGGCAGCATTCATAGCGTTGTAGAGGAATAGGTGTGATACAAGTTGGAATTATCGTACGAACTAACACAAGATGTCAGGACTGAATGCTGATCCCACCACTACTATGTATTACTGGTAATCAACTCTTATCGTAGAGTTGTTATTGTTTGTGAAGTTTTGAGCATGGACAAGCAGGAAATGTAGTTGTGGTGGTAGGCCGCAGCAACTTGCCGAGCGTAGCACATCTGTATCTGAAACCGACATCAAGCAGCAGATGCTCATCAGTTCGTTGCAGCAGGGGATTCTGGAAGAGCCTTGAATCATCGCCGAAGCATCAGTCGTGCCAAGGGCATGGTGCTGCACGCATGAGCAGCGTGCTTGCGACAAGTACAACTGACACTCGGCCCAAAGAAAGTCGTTTGGAGCTAGATGTCGGATTCTGAAAAATCTGAAAGCTTACAATCGGCCGGCCGAAGCAGGAGAGGAACTAGCTGACGATTTTCGTAAGAAGCTCTACTGGCAGCTCTGCGTAGGTGATAGCTGCTCATGCTTTCGTTTTTACAAGCCTTTCTTGCCACAAACCGGCCAGATGCAGAGGCGAGGAGGACTATTCTGACCGCTACTTGAGCTGGAGCAAATCCAAGCAGGAGTATTGTTGCGACAAGTACGAATATGCTTGCAGTCACGACACTGGAGGCGGGGTAACCAGGGTCCCAGAAGAATGAATATCATGTCGATGTTGGCGTAACATAATCGTTCCAGTCGTCTTTTACTACGACATATCATCTGCGTCTGAGTCAAGCCCTGCCAGGATACTATGGCGGTGCACACAGTCACCACACGATCCATCACATCTACTCTGGGACAGGGCAGGATGCCTTCGATCATGTTGCACACGCTGGCGGTGGTGAGACCTTCAGTCACTTTGAGACGAGCAGTGGGCAGTTGCCTCCAGGCTTCAAGATGGAGGGTGGTAAGCTCCCGCCTGGCTACCACGTGAAGGGCGACAAGATCGTCTACGGCCATGGAAGCCATGCCATGTCCTTCCCCAAAACTGACTTTCATTCAACACATGGCCATTTCTTCTTTAGTGATGCCGGTCATGAGATGCATGACAGTGCAGGCGGATCCGCCAGCAGCGGCCATGCAAAGCATGGCAGCAGCAGCGGCAGCTTCAGCCATGTTGAGACGAGCAGTGGGCAGTTGCCTCCGGGCTTCAAGATGGAGGGTGGCAAGATGGTTTACAGCAAGAGCGGGCACTTCGATTTCAGCGGCGATGGCGGCAAGCTACCGCCTGGCTACCACCTGAAGGGCGACAACATCGTCTACGGAAAGGGAAGTCACTCCATGTCTTTCCCTGAAGTCGACTTCCAATCAAAGGGCGATCACGTTTTCTTCAGTGATGCCGGTCATGAGATTCATGGCGGCACCGGTGGATTCGTTAGCGGCGGCCATGCAAAGCATGCCAGCAGCAGCGGCAGCTTCAGCCATGTTGAGACAAGCAGTGGGCACTTCGGTGGTGCCGGCCATAAGATGCATGGCAGTGTGGGTGGATCTGTCAGTAATGGCCATGCGAAGCATGGCTTCAGCTTCGGCCACATTGAGCAGCTGCCCCCAGGCTTCAAGATGGAGGGTGACCAAATGGTCTTCAGGAAAGTAGATGCCCACAGCAGTGGAGGCAAGGTCCCACCCGGCTATCGCCTAGAGGGTGACGACATCGTGATCGGCCATGGCAGGCACAGACTGGCATTCCCGGAGGTCGACTTCCAAGCCAAAGGCGATCACTTTGTCTTCGATGCCGACCGTGAGGCGGAGCAGAGTGCGGCCAGTGCGGCTGCAGGATTAGCGTCCGGCAAGCATGGTGGTGCTCAGTTCACTTTGCCTCCAGGCTTCAAGATGCAGGGCAACAAGATGGTCTGGACCAGGGGTGGTGGCTATTCATTCGATGGTACAGGCAAGCTCCCTCCCGGCTACCGATGGGAAGGTGACGACATCGCCTATGGACAGGGAAGTCTGGAGGCAGATATTCCCTCGAGCATGATTTCGACAGATTGAGCCAAGCCACTCGGACGTAGCCTTCTTTGTCCCGTTTGTTATCCAGTTATCCGCTTGTTTGCTCAAGCAGTGTCTGTTGAGTTCAATTCGTGAAAGAGTTGAGGCACCGAGCTGATTGGGTTGGGTTGCCAGGATGGGTCATTGCGATGTTGCGAGTCGCAAAATGACATAAGGCTCTTTCGGCCATCATGACATCAACCCGGCAGCTGCAGCTGCTTGGCCTCTTCTCAGACCAAAACAGATTGCACAAAGTAGCTTTTCGGGTTTCGGAACCAAACTTCGCTTACACGCTACACACTTCACAGCTTGTGCACTTCGCCAAACTCCAGTATTCTGTCATCCGCCTTGAGGCCGGTGTCTTTCTTGCACTGCGGAGCTGATCAACAGCAGCTCCGCCACATCTGAGTGGTTTACCTCAGACTCCTAGACCCTCTTGCTGGTTTGGGTGAACGTGTCATTGTGCAACGCCTCTGAGTGTGAACTAAGTGTACCCATCAGTTCATCACGTTCTGCAGACAACCCGGTCAAAGGCAACCTCAAGGTCCGTAGATGCAGATATCGCTCCGTGTGAGGGGGATTATCGGAGAGGGCTTATGAAGGCGTTGCAGGCCTTTGGATGGGCCGGAGCTCTGGCTCAGCTCACATCCGGCGGGGTCAAGCCAAAGCGCTCGTCTCGCCCTCGCCAGGTCCATTACCCCAACCCAGCCCAACCCTGCTGGGCGGGTAGGGACATCAAACAGTACGGTTGCTACAGTCAAGATCCGGGCAAGCCGTCGGATACTCTTTCTCCTTGGGGTCTTGGTCTGGCTCCGCTTCAAGAGCTGGAAGCAAAACGTGGCCCAAATTGACACGAAACGTCCTTTTTTCGGACCGCCTGACGTGCACCTTGGCACATCTCGGTCCTAGTCGAGCGTGCAAAGCTCAGTCCAAGATTTGAGATGCTTCGCGTGGCAAAGTCCAGGGTTGGAGGTGATAATGAAAGAAAACACAACTAAGCCGTTCGCGCCGCACACAGCGCTAGCATCAGCCAGAGGTACAAACCCCCAACCTGTGCTCGAGAGAGATGATGAAATCATCGGTGATGCTTTCAGACACGTATGATTTGAAGGTGCCTGTGGGGAGTGCGTGCCGAAAGCCGTACATCTCCGCAGAAGTGAGGAACAAAAAGTCAGAATGCCGGCTACATTTTTCAGCATCATCCAAGCACCATCGATGCAGCTTGCATCGTTCTTATTTGGGGCAGCCTCGGTTTTCACAGAGAAGTCATGACGAAGACGCCAGCAAACCTTCCCTTACCGACCTAGAGGGACCTGATCACGATCTTCCCGGAAAGCGCCGTTGTGAGGGCATTCATTCCTGGGATAAGTTCCTCCTCCGACGAACAGGCCGAGACATCCTTGGCACACACATGCAGCCCCGTCTCGTTGAAACCACCACTCCACACCAACTTTACACTCAACTTTTGCATCCTCAGCCCCCCTGTCCGGTTTTGGCATTGTGTGCCACCATGGCTTCGCCGGCGAGCTCACGAGAGGCCCGCGAGGACCGGGCGAATTCTCGCTGTGGTGGTTTCAAACTTGACGAGACTTGAGGGGTGTCTGTTTGCATGCCCAGATCACACTTTTGTCAGCACCGTGCATCTGAAGTCGGAAGTTCTATTCACCGGCGCAACGTCCCAGTCCCACAACTGACGGATGGAAGGGCAGAGCATGCTGCCTGCATCGGCATCGTCTATTCAAGGGATTGGCAAGCTGTCATCGCTGTCTCACCAGCAAATTTGTCGCCGAATAACTTCTCGTAGTTTCCTTGTTCCGCACTGAAGCATAAACACGAGCAGCCTTGAGCCTTGTGTTACACCCCAGTGAAAGGAAGTCCCTTGCGAGGAGCCACTGCAGCGAGAGGCAAGCCGCCTTGCCGTGCGTACCAACTTGGAACAGGTGGGACCCGACTGTTGGCGTGGCAGACAGACTTTCACAACAAACAGGTTCACCTGCGTCTAGGCTCGAGTGTACTGGGCGGAAGGTGATGAATGTTGCTTTAGCGCGGCATTCGCGGCTGGTGATATGCATCTTGGATTGGACACCTCAGAGCCTCTTTGTCCTGTGGATTCGCTCCCCGGAATGGTTACAAAGTGTGTAGCCCGGAAGCGAACTAATTACCACGTGTCTGGCTCACCACCAACCAGAAGATAGTGCCAGTGCAAGATACTTTGCGAGGAGCCGGGCACTATCAGACTTTCCGGCTTCCCCCCAAAAAATGTCAGAAAGCTCCTGAGGGGTTTGCATCGCAGCCGCCCATTAAGGCACGGTGATGATGCTGTTGACAGGGATGCTGCTGATTCTTTTCTGGCACTTTGGCTGCACTGATCTTCCATTGCGTATCTCGCTTGGGTAGGCTGCACCTGATGCCCTGTACAATCGTATAATCCCGCGACGCGCCAATGTAGTCTACTAGCAGCACCGAGCAGGTCTCAGATGGTGTTCTCCAGCCATGTGCCTTGACTGCTCACGATGGGCGGTTTCAACTGGTCATCTGTTGTGGCATGCAAACGGCCTCCCTCGATTCCTCCGAACTTTTGCGTGATGCCCACCTGACATATAGGATTCGGAGGTACTCAGGTACTCTACTTTCAGCACATTCGGCAGCCGCCACATCTGTTGTGGTGCGTTCTGCTCGCTGCTGATCTTAGGAGTTCGACTCGTGTGACCAGCCCCTTGCGTTGATGATAAGGCTCCCTTGCTCAAGCATGGTTTGGATGGGAGGGAGATCTGGTGCACGGCCCTGGTTGAATGTTGGGTGTAGGATGGATGACCGACAACCAACCTTGTGAGTCCGTGTAGGCTTATCTTCATCATCGTCATGGTGCAAACGATGCAGAAGGTCCGGTTGACTCCTCACTACCTTTCCGTGGACATCGCCGTTTTCAGATATTTCTACGGACTCTGGATTCTGACGGCAGGCAATCACTCGCCACTGTCTGTGCTACGATGCGGTCGAGGCTGACTTTGCCGGTTTTCGATTGCTGCACCCACACCTTACGAGTGTCTTTGCAACGGCCCGTGCAGAAATCAGAAACAGACGACGCAACCATAGCTGCAGCCCCCGGGTCTCTCCTCGTCTTGCCTCAACGTAGTACTACATGAAGTCCAAACCATCAACTTTCTTCTCGGCGGCCTGTCTGTCAATACAGAGCGAAACTCACACTTAATGTCCGAGCCAGTGCGAAGTCATCAGGATGGTCCTCCCGAGCCGCTCCGAGTGCGTGTCTTCCGGGCTCTGGCAGTGTCGGCCGCGGTGCTCTGGCCACTCGTGGCAGGTGCACAAGTCCCGTGAAAGGGTCGGGTATCCTGTTGGAGCAAGGCACTATCAATTCCGTGTTGCCCTTGCTTACCGCCATCGC